GAACATGACGCTGCAGAGGTACCGCAACAAGAGCCACCCGCTTCTGACTCGTCATCTTATCATCACTGAAGGGATCTGAGAAGCAAGGCCACTGTCACCTAAACTAAAATTCAGCCAGAAGGTTTGAAATTGCGTTTCACTCCTCCACCCATTTATTCACAAAGAAATAAATGCAAGCTTCATGCATACCAGTCAGACAACTTGTAATGTGATCTACTCTAAGACCTCAGCTTTTATGTCTGAAATACATTACCTAGCGATTACTATCAGAAATAACCGTGTACTAAACACAAAAAGCTTCTATACGGTAGAATTATCAAACATATGAACTGCCCTCCCCAAGTGCAGCATTACTAGGTTACATTTGCAAACTAAAGACAACTTGGCAAGGAGTTTTTTTGAAATGGTATTTGAACCCCACACTTCCTCACTGTGCCATCACATTCAACTTGCTCTACTCACCGACGCACTGCTAAACCTCCCAGAAGCTTGTACCGCAGGGACTCTGCCTGAGCGATTGCACACAGACCTCTTGTGGCCACCTTCTCAGCATAGAGCTAACAAAGGAAAAGAAGTAAACTCAGAAACAGGGCTGTATTTCAAGATACTTTTAATTTAACAGAACACAGGAGCTTCATACTACTCTATGCCCCATCCTCTTCACCCAGTGCAGTTAGTCCTTCCACATTTACATGCGGAAGCTTCATCCTCAGACACTACACTACCTTAACTCCTTTGGTGCCTGTCTCCTACTCCTGGCAGAGCTGAGACACACTGATGACACTCCACTGAAAGTCAGGAGACTATTAAGACATCCACGGTGCAGTCTCAAAGAGCTGCTGCTTCAAACAGCCCCAAAACATTAGGTAGCACTGGGGAGAGGTATCCAGACAATCACAAGAACTTCGCTTGAGACACAGTTTTTACGACACGTACGTTACGTAAGTCTGCTTAAGTATTAAAATCAAACCTAAGAAAAGGTTTGATTTTTGAAAGCTGGGAGAGTGAGGTGTATTAAGCCTAACATCTCCAAGAGACCAAAGCCTGATACTTCAGAAGAAGGAGACATTCAAAATCATGCACATGATATTCCCAGAGCTGACAAATCACGATGTGCTCTGTGAGGGTTTGTGCCATTCAGTATGTTTAAGCATTTGCTGGAGATAATCAGCAATCTTCACTGTATAATGTGATCCAGCAACACTGGCCAAGCAGGAATAAATGTCAGCACCACCCCAGACCACACATTCCCCCCCGCCCCTAATTTGTTTTAGAGGAAAGTACTAGTAAGGGCACCAGATTTCAAACATCAGAAGACTGGAAATTACTGGTGTGTCACTTTACTGTCCATTTCATTACTGTATCATACTCAAAAATCTCAAAGATCTTTCTGCACGAAACAGTTTCTTTGTAAGGACAGAAGCATTATGAATTCAATAAGGGTAATGGTAACACACGAATACCAAACGTGATGCTGTTAGACTAGCTTCTCACCTCAATATTGGGACAGCAACATTCTCTATAAAATATTTACAGATAAGTTTAAAAAGTTTTACCTGCATTCTCCTTGTCGAGAAATCAGAGAAAACCAGCCGAAGTGACAGCACTCAAAATACGACAAACAGCAAAGCATTTTGTATTTCAGTGCAAGAGTGTTTTGTGAACAGGTAAAACACGCCCCAAGTTATCTTCAAGTCAAACCGCCTTTCAGCTGACACTATCCAGAGAGCACACAAAGCTAACTGCACAACCCACTCACTACTTGTTTTAACTGAGACAGTTTTACCTCAACGCTTCCCTCAGGGAATCCAAACCTCTTCTGCACGACGGCCGTCAGCTCCCGGATGCGGCGTCCCTTCTCACCCAGGACATTCTGAGTTCTGGGAAAAAAAAGGTACAGAATGACTGAGAAAAGTGTCTCCAGGTCTGAGCCTGTAACCACCCCAAAGAGCTTCCAGACTGAGCATCTAACTTAGTTCAGGGGTTGTAACGCTGCCTCATCACTAAAGATCACTTCGGGATCTCTTTCCTAAGCAGCTTCTCGTAGTAATATTGACCACTTTAAGCTTCAGCCTGCCGCAGCATCCCTTACAGCCTTGCACAGCACCTGTGAGTGAGCAGCATCATCTCAGTTACCTGGTGGCAAGTATGATAATCTCAGTCCTGGTTGGAGTGACCCGGACTTCTACTCCGGAGTACCCATCTTCAGCCAGTTCACGAGTCAGAAACTCATTCAGCTCAGCTTTGAAGATACCGTCAGCGACAAACTAAAAAACAAACGGACCAAGTCAAGCTCTGTTCAAGTGCTGAACCTGAACACAAGATTTTCACATTCGGAGTCTGAGTGCAATTCATCCCTGGGACCATCCTGCAGGCTGGCAGTCTCCTCCCCAGCGCAGAGGAAGCAGCAGTGGGGAGAAATAAAAGCATCTCCCCTGAAGT